TATTATTGATTGCTTTAACATATTATATGTGTAAAGAAAAGAATAATAATAATTAATCAATATTCAATGATGAATTTTCTTTTTTTATTCTGGCAATAGACGTTTCATTGAAACCTCCTATGGGATCAATAAATGAAATGAGTATCCAGAAATCGGCATTTTGCCTTGAAGCGTGATTAGCATGTGTTCGAACGTAACGCGGTCCTCCGCAAGCTCCCTAATTGAAACACATCGAACGCTAATTAATTAACGATATCAATTAAACTGTAATTGCACCAGTCGTTTCCTCAAACATCGTGCACTTTAAATATAATGCCCATGCCTTTAAATCTCCAAACAATACCAGCATTTAAAAACAGACCATCGCAGTTATCGTCGAGCTCCATTTCCTCTTTCATAAATTGAACTTTAAAATGAACCCCCGGCACATTTTTTTACACCTGTCCGAATATAAATGATTATATTGTTTTCCGGAGGTAGCAAAAAAAAACGTAACGTCGATAACGATCGCATATTTACAGTGGACTATAATATTGTAAAATGTTGGAGTGGATATTTATGTCATCGTTCCGTTTAAACGAAGATTAATGGCGGTCCGATGGCATTGAAATATGGAATCTGCGAGAGCAGTGCGCGGAAAAAAAATGCAACGAAAAAAAAAGTGAAACGTACGTCGGAACGAAAAAAATAAATATGAGAAAAAGAAATAAATTCGTTTCGTACTTGGTGATCGTTTCATTTCTTTCCGTTACACAATACTTCTCCGCCTCCTGCCATTTCTTAAATGGCTCCGGGGCGCATTGAAGGAAGGGCAGACCGGAAAAAGAATGAAAATGGAATCAAACAAGTGATTAATCTGATATGCTAAATCTTCCTGGGGATAAATCAAAAGTCGGGGTCCATTCATCTTCATATACGACAATTAGTGTCTCGAGATTTTTCCACTTATTTTTCACTTTTGTAACAAATGATGCCCAGATACTATTTATCTTACAGATTTATTAATGCTGCTGTTACACTTCTTTTGGAGGAGGACTTGTATTTATTTGATGGTGCGTGCGTTCCGCCTTTTTGGTTTTCATTTCTTTCTGTACCCCTGTTATCCAATTCAACGCCAATGTGCATCAATGGATAATTAGATCCTTTGATGATAGATAATAGCACTATATGTGCGGTTATCTAACTCTGCTTGACATTTATTCGTATAAAGGAGGGACCGAATTGATTCCGTTGATGCGGTGTATGGCGAAAGTATTGCTTGGTGTGATTAGCAGCATCAAAGTTAGTGCACACCGCATTTCAGTCATCGATCCTATTAAAATGAATGCAGTCTCTCCTATCATTAGATACATTGTATAATACAATGCTATACACGTAAACAATTAGTTATCATTACAGACATTGCAATCTAACACAAATTGGACATTATTTAATTGACTTTGAATTTCGACCCTTTGTGTACAATTTTTTAAAAATAACATTATGACTTGACTATTATCATTTAAGAATGTTCCTAAAATTTAAATACTGTGATTTTTCTGGTATTAACTGCTTGAAATATTTTCTGTTTTCCGAGAAAAATATGTAACATAACATTGAACTTCCTTATGAAATATGAAACAAACACTGTCATTACAACTTTTGGTTTTGGAGAGAATCTCATAACAATTCTATAGCATTTTCTTTCCATTTGATGTATTATTTTGAACAAAGAAATGTACTTCAATAATATCTACTCAAAATAAAAGTTCTTAGAGAAATAATTAACACAGACGAAAAGTGTTCTTAATAGGATGAACATGAAACATAATTTTATACAACTAACAAATATGAGACATTATGATGACAGTTTTTTTTAAATAAACGGATATTGTTACTGAGTTCCAAAAGCGAGTTCTGCGTAATATAGAAGCTGTTTTGATGCTTTGGTCAAAACAGCTAGTCATCACTCAGTTTCGGATAAATAAAAGAATGTTAAATTCGTAAAAGTACTGTTTCGAAACATTTTTAGGAAGTACCAGAATATGTTAAATGATATTTTATAAAAGGGGTTGTATAAACTCCAAAATATAACTGGTGACTTCCATTGTGATAAAGATTAAATATTTTTCAGACGGTAGAAAGTACATTAAACTTAAATATTTAAAAAAATTCACAGTCTATAGAAATTATTTGAAAAATATTCATATTAAATAATTAAACTTTATTTTAAACTTATCTTATTACAATCATTATTCGTATTGGTATAATGTATTGTTCATGTATGATAAATTTCTTGAATAATAAATTCAATATTATATTTACTTACTTCATTAGGATAGTAATATTAAATATTGTAATAAATTTATTTCATTTTATTTAATCAAAAACATGGCACTACATTATTGTGCATGATAATGTGCCGGATAACGTCAAATCCATAAGTTGAGCATTTCTCAAGGTTTAATCCACCTTGAGGGAAAAAGCCTTGATAAATGTTGTATGCATGTACAGTGATTTGAAAGCTAACGTGGCAGAAAAGCGCATTCCTATAGGAATAAATAAATCTATGTCACTTTTTAAACTTTTTCTTAAAACGCTACGATTTTATCAATTTAAATCAAATAAAATCTCAACAATACTAGAGATATTTCAAACACCTTAAAATATATTTTTTTACAAATACTTTTGTGATTCATAGTTAGTCATAAAAATTAGATTACCTTTACATAAGTTTTATATTTATTAACGTTTTCAATATTTATTAATATAAAAAAACGTCTATATTTTAATGATTTAACTAGTAAAACTTTAATAAATTATACACCTTTTTTTACCTATAAAGTCATGCAATAAAGGCCGTAGGCTAAGGTTAAATTGCGTACATTTGCATAGTTCTTACGACACTTATCGTGATTTATGGCCAGATTTTTGTGCCTTAAAGGTGTTACTGAAATTATTATTACGGTAATCCTTCGGTAACAACGGGGCTTTACGTCAAACAGCCGACGCTTGTTATTTTATATGCTTTCCAGTGATAAAATGAATTCATCCCGGTTTTTAGGATTGTACAGACCTTGTTTTCGTTTTAACATTTCACACATTCTAAAGATACAGCGCTTTATTTATTGAAATTTATTACATTATATAATAATAACAAAAAGTGTTACTGTCTCGTAATATTAATATAAAATATTTTAGTTCTATGCATAATCGAAATAAAAAAGAAGATTTTCAGTATTTTCCTCATAAACCAAAAAATGCAAGAATAAGCAATATGGAAAATATTCCCCAAAACGCTCAAATCTAGCATGCAGAAAGTGGAAGTCTGTGAATATACATATATGTATATATGAAATATGTTATATTCACATGACGAACGCCTCTAGGATTAAACCTCGTGCACCATGCTCGTTCTTTTTTTCATTCCCTCTTTGTCTATCTCTTTCTCTCTCGATTCCATTGTTCCAGCATTAAAATTGCGAAACAAAAAAAGGAATCCCAGAGAATAAAACGCGGAGGGTGGAAGGCGAAGGTATTATTTTAAATGGACGAACACGTCGGGGGTCGGGTGGGTGCCGATTGTATTTGCATTTTATTTTGCAACTGATGGTACGTAGCTTAAGCGGCTTTGCGAGGCAGGAGAATAGCGCAAAACTCGCGAACGCAAAATTGAAATAAATATTTAAAATGAAAAAAAAACAAGTCACTAGATTTGCTCTACCTTTTTTTTTTTCTATTGAACTGAAAAAAAAAACTAGAGTCGACAGCAAAAAAAAGTAGCTAAATAAAATCCAGCATGGATTTTACGTGTAACTAAAAACACCGACGTGCGGTCCAGCTGGGAACAATGTTTATCTATAGATTATCCCAGATTTGAATATTTTGCACTAATGGAACAGCTAGCTAATGTCCATTGCATACTTGATGTTCAAGAGATTACAAAAGTTATGCAACGTTGATCTGCTTTGTGTATATAAATAATAAGTCTTGGTATATAAAAAGAGTGTCCAAAAAAGAATTGACAGTTTAAATTTGTCGCCATTCTTTTCGCGGTAAAAAAGAAGAGATTTTTATATTCTATCATTAGTAAACATTGAGGTTAATTTATGGAAAATACAGAATCAAAATTATAAGAAATCACTTGAAAAATGGTGAAACTGTTCACAGATGATGTACTTTCTTTGGACATCGTAATGATGCTACTCGTAACACCATGGAGAATTGTTAGTAAGTGTTAGTAAAAGTGTAGAAGAATCCTTCAACATCAATTCATCGTCTCAATCAACAATTACGCATTTCTAGAAGCTCTACTTTCTAATAAAACAAAAATATTATCAATTATCAAATGAAAAATGTGTTTTATTGAAAAAAATAAAATTTTAGTTTATTTTGGGACACCCAAAATATTCACACAATAATTATGTACGAAAAAAGTCAAGAGTTTTTTTTATTAGTTTTAAATTAATTACTAATTATATAAATTATATTTATAAATAACATTTCTTTGTTTTACTTCTGTCAGAAGATTGTAAATTGACTTTTTTAAAATATTTATTTTCTCGTATTTATTAAGATTCTGTAATAATAACTGTCTTTTCTGTTTAAATTATTCCTATTCTGCCTTTATATATTTGAATATTATAATAAATGAAATATACAATTGTAATTAATCAAGTAAAGAAATAATCGAGAAGAAAATTCCTTACAATTATTGATAAATCTTTGAAAACTAAAATCCAAATTTAATGAAATTTGATGCATATAATTAATGAATATATTATGAATCAAATCATTTAACATTACATATAATAGTATATGATTGTATATAATAATTAATGCAAGTAATTATATTACAAATTGCAGCAGCGTATTGTATTTTGTAGGTGTAATCTAGGTCATTAATTGTACGGTGGGCAAAGTTCGCCCAGTGTATGATATGTTAATGAAGCAATTAATAAGACAGTTTCCTTGTTAGTAATGGAGCTGGTGTGGTGTAGTATAGTAGTTAGGGTACTAACCTCATCCGAGTGATGAAGACCGGCGCTAAGTCCAGTTGGGCCGCAAGACCTAGATCGGAGGCCTTTATCTCTTGCCAACCTGAATACTTGACAAGAGAACAGGCAGGAGACGGCATATCTGTAACAAGATTACGTGACAATTAGAAAACAGAATAATGTGCAGTGTTGGGCGTGTGCATGAACGAACATGCTGTGGATAAGGAAAGAGCAGGAGCAGCAGGATTTTAATTTAGCAAATGGAAGTGTCACGGAACGCGTAATACGTCGAGATAGTAGACTTTGGTTTAATAAAAGATGTCACGCTGTTTGGGATACATGCATCCAAAAGAAAGGCTTTCATCTGTCTGCATTAGCATGTTTTAATATCGATAATAAAAGAGCGACTGCTTCCAGCTACTGCATTGAAATAGTCCCAAGTCTCTTATAATTAACTGCAGATGTTAATGATAATCTAAAATTGTACTTTTAATTAAATGACATAATAATATCTTCACTTATACGGTCTCTTATTGCTTTGTTTATTTTAAAAGTATTCAATTAGTCCGGTTTCAAATACTGTGGGATATTGACCAATCAGATGTGAGGTATTTCTGTATTATTTTTTTGGCCATCAAAAATAATGGAATTTAATTTAGTTTCTCAATTAGTCCAGTTTCAAATAGTCCGGAATATTGGCGGAACCAATAACCCGGACTGTGCAATATATTGCTGTATATACAGATATTTTTACTTTTTTATTATTAAGTTTTCCAATATTTTGTGAGCGTGTCCTACATACAACTGATTCGTAATGACTGTTGAAGAAGTGAATCAAGGGGAATGAGTCCACTAACTTGGTCTGCCATTTAAAAGGACCTCGTCGTCCTACTACGTGAGAAGCTTCCTTCCAATTAGGAACATTGTCTGACCAATAATCAAAATTGCGTCTATTGACAAAACTATTTTAGTAAAATATGTGAGTATTACTGAAAATTTTATATAGTGGAACTAACTTTATCGATATTAGCTATAATTATATAAATTACCATTTTTTTTTAATTACTGTTTATACTGCTTACAATTTAGCTAATCTATTAAGAAATGTTATTACTCTCATATAAAATAAAATTAATTATAACGTGTATATGTTTCTTTATATAAATCCTTTAAAATACGTAATATGTACTTAAAATATTTTATCTTGCCTTATATAAGACATAAATGACTAGCTTTAGCACTCTAATTGAACTAACATTTACATATTCGTATGAACGTACAATGCTGTATGACTTTTAAAATAATAATATCACGATCTTACTAAAATCTATACATGTAATGTCAAAGTATAGTTTTTTCGTTAATACTATGACACATCTATATATATATAAAAAATAGTATATAGAAATCTACTATCCAGTCGATGTATAATTTTTAATTCAACTTTATGTAAACATCATAATATTTAACTGATTTTATATATTTTCTGCCACATAATTAATAAACATTTATATACGTAATAAATAATCTTCCTTAAGAGTATTAAGAGATTTTAATTACATTAATTATATAATTTAATATTTTAAAATAATGCTTTGGACGTCTCATTTTTTTTTTAAAGAAAAATATAAAATATAATAAGATTATATAAACACATAGACAATTTAATATTATTTAAATTAATAGAAGTAAAGGGAATAAAGTTATTTATTTTATCATTTGTACTATTTCTTAATGCATAAAATAATTGGATAATATTTTGGTCAACGTAACTAATTTATTGCTTAGTGAAACCTCGGATTTGGAATGACCAAACCATTTCGGTTTCCTAACAGAATTTACTAAAATTTGCAAGTAGTGTTTCAATATGATAGAATGATTACTCGTTTTTAAAATCCGAATTAAAGAAAAAACATTTTGTTTCAAACTATTTGAACATTTATTTATTATGTAATGGTTAGTTTTATAATATTAATATATATTTCGTTATTTCGTGTGGAATAAATTGAGGTGCGGAAACGATAATTCTATTATAGACTAGTTTCCAAAGCAATTTGTTTCTGTTTGTTGGTCAGTACAGCAGTTTTCCAGTTGATAAATGGTCCAAGTTAATATTTCGTAAAGTTTAACAAAAGTCTTGTAGTCTCATTCCGCGCGAGCGCTGCGCATATTGTCTGGAACTGAAACCTCAGGTCAATGACGTGCCATTTTTTTCCATTCCCTTATATGCCAGTTGATGCCACAGGTTTTTCCAAACCTTTTCCTCGGATTTTATTTAAAAATTTCTTGCTGGTAAATTGTCCGGAACCAAATTAAGCGAACGCACGCTTATGTAAAGTGTTGTTAATAATGGTGGAGGTGCAGGGTCGGCTATTGTTTTGGACGTTTAGAGAAGCGGAAAGAGGGTATCCAGGGAATGGCAAAGGCCCTAAGGGTTCGTTCCCTGTAGCCGCGAATTCGAGCTTGCTCTTGAATTCGAGTCACGTGAACGGGATAATATCAGCCCCGGCGCCGCCACCTATTTATTACGCGACACGGTGCGTCCGATGTTATTATCAACACCCAGGTATACGCCTGATACCTGTATGTGTGTGTGTATATACCTGAGTGCGAGTGGTTTACGAAATTTCTATGCACCAACCTCCGGATCGACAAACGAGGGGTCTTTCCCGCATTATCACCAGATATATGCGCATATCCATATAGATTATACGCTGCATACTATATACATACATTTTCGAACTAGTCAATTTTTATTCTCTTACAATACACCCCCTGCGGGATTTTATAGTTTAATTTCGAGCCAGCAATTTCGTACCAAGTTTTCCATTTATACCATTTTTCTTCTCTCTTCTACATCCCTTCGATATCCTACAGCAATACCCAGTTCCACTTCAACATTATTCCCTCGCCCCCTTCTATTTTGCACTCAGATATGCAAAAATCAGACGCGATGAACTCGGTATGAAATGGTCGATCCATTATATGAACGGTACGAGTGAGATCGTATTATGGATACCAATCGAACAGTGAGCGTGAGAAAGAGAGGAAACCAATAAAGAGTTGTATTTGGAGTGGTCGTAGTTGTACGATGTGCCATTCTTCAATACGAATATTCGGAATAAACATCTTTTCAGAACTCATTTTCCCGGGGCCGCGGCAATAATGAATAAAACGGCAATTCGATTTTGCGAAATTAATGGAAGCCCTGACACAGAACGCTGTGCAACTGCATTACATATTTAAGATTTTCTTAATTTCTGAACATTTCCATGGAATTGGAACAGTCGCCAACTGTGCGCATTGCAACTACTGTATTTTATGGCGTCCAGAAATATAAGCAATAATTTACTGCTGTTTTCTAAATAATGATCTTTGTCGATATTTAACATTTCTTACACATACAACGATACATAAATTGTGCAGAACATAAATTTATATTATGAATTGAAACATATTACGCAGAATTAAGAAATTTTAACATTGCAATTCTTTACAAATTCACATATTGATTACATTTTCTTACATATAATCTAATGTATATGCACTAATAAATAAGATGCATACAAAAGTAATTATTGGAATTCTGAATAAATTTACAAATAATATTTATTTATTGAATATATCTTGTCACATAAAAATTAAATCTAAGCACAAATGAATAAAATATATATAAAAATGAATCTAACAATATCTTACTTATATTTCGTTGGTTGGCAGTGAACCTTTAATATTTTGATTCTTTTCCAACAATACTTTATTGAATTATATTAGCAGTATTCAGTAGATATACATTATAACATCTATATTTTCTACATGATATACTTAATGGATTTTATTAAAACCTTTTTCTTCAATTTAATCTATTGGTAAAATAGATTGCTCTTTCAGATCTAAAAATAAACTGTTTTCTTTATTTTGTATACTATTTGTAATTGTATAGTATAGACATAAGTATGTACATATATTTGTCTTATTATATAAATAATTTATCAAAATGTTAGGTAAAGACTTTTATTATTATTATTGTATTATTAAATCATTTATATAGAACTTTTTTTTATAACCATAATTCCATTTAGTTTCGTTTGTCATGTTCATACGCAGATGTTATAATTTACTTTATAAATGTTAATAATTTATACAAATACTTCTTGAAGTTCATTTTCTTTTCTTATATAAAACATACTATATATGATTATAAGCTTAAGAAATACTATTAAAATATAATTACTACTAATATTATAAGAAATCCTCTTTGTATTTAAATTGTATTATTTAGTAATTATATAATTTATTTAACAAATTGTTATTGGCCCATTTAGGATCAAAGACCTATAGTCTTTTTGCCCATTAATTATAATTTTCACATTTAAAAGAATTGCTTGTTGCACAATTATAAATTTTATCATAACCGTCACTCAATAATAATGTTGGCATTTAATTAATGTTTATAATTAACTAAAGTTAATTATACGTATAAACTGAATTATAAATACAAATAAATTATTAATAATAAATATAGATATCAGAAAACTTATACAGCAATATTTTTTATTTATAAAGAAAACCTGCTTTTGTGCGGTAGATAGTGAGCGCATAAAAGAAATCGCACAAAAAAAATATTCGGAATTTTCATAAATTCCTACATATAACTTTGTACATACATTAGAGAAAATACCTCAAAGATTTACGAAATACATGAGAAAGTGCATCCAAACAAAATAAATTACACATAAAATATTTTAAAAACATGTAATTTATCATTTTACATATGGATAAATGCACATACACAATTCACTGCTATTCGTGTTAATCCTTGTGATGAATTGGTTCAAAATCAACTAACAAAATTGTTTGAGAAGGCTGTACCATATACCGCAATATGAAAAAAATTCTATTATTTTACAAAATAATTAGTGTATAGTAAATTTGAATGATGTGTTACAAAGTATGAATTTCATACTTAATATTAATTCTTCAATACACATTTCTTTGTTTTATATATCAACAAAATATACTCAATATTGTAAATTCGATTACTATGAGGATGTAGATTGATTTGAATAGATTTGCTATACGATATAAAATGAATACCGAATATTCGCAATGTCACTGGTATATAGAAAAAAAATAATAG